AGAGGTCCAAAATGCATCACTTAAAAATGGCCTTCTCCATCGACGACGACATCCCGCAGCTTCCATTTGTTCTTTTAGTGCTCTGAAAAAGGGCGTGGAGTTTATCTTAATAGCCAACAGCGATGGGTCTTGTCACTGAAGCCATGGAGATATCTGATTCCCTCCCTAGTCGGTCTCCAACACTTCATCTAGGCAGATATAATATTAGTTTACTGGAAGAGCTACGGTTAAAAGTGACGGTGAGAACCCCTTCAACCCTTCTAAAAAGGTCAAGATGAGGAGTATATTAACAGAGTAGTATCCCTAACCTTGACGGTGGGATATAAAAGGACTTCTTTTGCGGGCCACCCATCCTAATACGTACAAGTCTTAACCAACAAGCTTTTGGACTGTGGGGAAGCGGACGGGCCAGTCTTGACTGTGTGTACGTGTAGAGAGATCAACTAATGCTGACTGCGTTGGTGCAATGGGCACTTTTGTGTCTCATATTTGTGTTATTCATGAGATCTACATTCACAACATACTCTCATTTGGTGTCTATCAAAAATGATGGATGTGCAGTTGTAGACAGTAAGGAACTTCTGGAATGATGGAAAGCCTTTCATAACTTGGCCCCAGCCAATTGACCTTGACCTTGTCTTGCCGACGTTATTTCCGGTTTTGGTTCCACGCCGCTCATCCGTGACAAATTATGCGTGTCTTCAGTAAAAGTCAATTAGCGTTGCTCGAAATTTCTACATGCCAGATAATAAAGGCACGCAACTCCAAGTTCCCAGATGTTCGGTTCAACCAGAGATTGCCGGCTTGGCATAAAGGCTTCCGCCGCCATTGCCATGGCTTGTTTCTTGACTCGGTGCTTATTATTGCTGTTCCTGCAACTCAAAAATAAAGCTAAGCTTAAGCTGCGTGTATCGTGGCCCCCGATTCTCTAGCTCTGGCGTTCTTTGGTACAGGTCTCGAATCGCATCTTTCTAGTGGGCGTGGAGCATCTTGTCCGAGCATCTTGTTGCTTGAACGGCGTTGTGGCATATTGTCAACATCACTTCTTGTTATACAGACATTTTTAAAGAGAAGGAATTTATGGTTGTTTATTGTTCATATTTCTTCAATTGATAGTCCCTGCATAAAATGTCATTACACTGCTTATACTCACTCCCTTCAGGTTTTCACACCTCCAACTCGAAACGCGCCACCAACGAACCTGGCCAAATCGTCCACTCATTCGTCCATTCCACTGATAACCCCAGTATAACGCTGGATCGCATCCAGGTTCCCAGTTTAGGCCCCCCTGCCCCTCCCCTCTCTTTTCACTCGCTGCGCTACTTGGGCCTCGGGGCGTTTAAGAAATGAAAATAAAAACGTGACTGTTCAGAGCAAAAGAGCCGAAATAATGTGGTCAGCCCGTCATTTTCGGAGTCGAGTTCTTTGCTCATTTATTTTTTGCAATGTAAGCTGAAAAGTCAAGTTTTCTGATACCCCCTGCAGAGGAAATCGGCAATCAGGTCAACTCAACTCAATTCGTCATCCCCCAAAAACGCTCACCCGCGATTTCTCCCTTTCGTATTGCGTCTCCTGCATTCTCCATTCTCCACAAGCCGACCGTCCCATCCCATTCACACCCACTACTGTTACTGCTACTACTGCTGCTGCTGCTACTGTTCCCTCCCTCCTTCCTGCACTTCTTGCTTTCTCCCAGCGGAAACGGCAGCCACAATTTCAGCATCCGGGCCAATTCCACGCTCCGTCCGACCTGGTTTCCAAGTCCACCTTACTCTCGCTTGATTCTCTTGTTCTTTCTCCCCCAGAAACGCCAACTCGTTCGCTCCTGCTTTTTTACTCATTCTTATTATTCTCAACTTCAGTTTCGGTTTCAAATTCGATTCAACTTTCAATCTGCTCAGACCGATTCTCATCTTTACAGCCTTACAACTCACATCCGCAGCATCGCGTCCACCCTGACCGTTACTTAACTTTTTTGCGCCTCTGGTGCACGCCCTATCATGCCTACGATTCCATGACTGAATATGTTGTAGAAGCATGTGTAAGTTCTTCATGTCGTTTGTTCAACCCGACTTCCCTCGTCTCTTTCCTTCCCAACTCCCCTCGTGTTACGATCTTCTGTTCACTACGTACCTTGCCTACTCTTCCCACAGGGTGCCTATTCCTTTCTGTTCCTGTTCCTGCTCCTCATCCGCTCCTGCGGGTTCGAGGCCAAGAGCCTCGCATCATACCCCAGTCTTGGCATTTCACGAACTGACACCAAATCGTCTAGCGCTCACCGAGATACGAAATGTCGTGTATGTCTTTCACTTTGTTATTTGTTCCATGCATCCGCCATGCCGTTTACTCTCGTGGCCGTTGTCGTCAACACCGTTTGCTGGCGTGATACGCACGACTACGCCGCCTCAAACCCCCACTCACACCACCTCAGCAAACAACGACATCTGGCACAAATTTCCTATCAGACGGCACCATTTTGCATTGTTGCTACTGCCGTGAACATCGCTGACCAAGACTGCTAGCCTCCTGTTCAGCAATCCAGTATGGAGCGGCGCAAGTACGGTTCCGTCTACAATCATTCGAAACCTTACGGCTCTCTCGGTGCGTTTACCTTCCTAAACCTTTGCAAATCTAATTGCATGGAGGTAACTTCACTGTCAATGTGGCTTCGACTTACCAAATACAAAATAGTCCGACATAGCATATAAGGAGCGCATCTCCACCAACATCACAACCCTTACCACGACCAATTCCGAGGCAAGCAACGGCGTCGTCAACGGCCTTCTGTACGTCCCTGATCTCGACAACAACCGCGAGTGCGACCAACTGCAGTACCAATTCATCCCTCGGAATGTTACCCGTCGAAGCAACCTCCCCCCTCAAAATTACAATCTCATCGCTCTCGCCCCTTGGTTCAGTATCGACTGTACCTTGGCTTACCTCGCTTCTGCGCGTCTCGACCCAATTCGCGCTTTCATCTTCTACAAACCTAACAATTCTTCGAATCAGCCTCAAGATGCCGACTCGCCTGTTTGGAACCTGGAGGATGGCGGAGCTTGGATGACTGCTAACAAGTATCCCATATATGCTATTTCTGGCCAAGAAGGCCAGAATATGATGAATCAGCTTAGTTATTATTCTGGCAGTGTGGACAACATCCCCTACGGCGAGAACATAAGCACGATTTACGGCCCAAACCCGAGGGATTATGTCCGTATTTGGACCGAACTATCCGTGGAGGACGAATCAGATATCCCTCCGCTCTGGGCCTTCTTTCTTATAGTTATTGGTGCTCTGCTAGCCATATTTGCGTTTGTGTCGATAACTATGCACCTGGTGCAGAGGCGGCGCCGCATATCACTCCGGAAAAGGGTCGAGTCTGGTGAAGTCGATCTTGAAGCCATGGGTATAAAACGCCTTACAATACCCACCACCCATATCAATAGTTTTCCGCTATTCACATATAACGCGGATCCCGAATCAATGGCACCGCCTCCGACGCCCTCATCTACCCGCCGTCATCGAAGTCATCGAGGGTTCGATCAACAAAGCGTCCGATCCGGTGTCAGTGTTCGAAGCAAGCGATCCGGTATTGGAGCAACTGGCGACAACGCTGCCACAAACTTCCAGCCCAGTTGCCACATATGCCTCACTAATTTTGAGCATCGAGTGACAATCATTCGAGAGCTTCCATGCGGACACATATTCCATCCGGAATGTATAGATGAGTTCTTGTCGAAGAACAGTTCCCTCTGTCCAGTGTGTAAGCATTCTATGCTGCCCAGAGGCCATAGCCCTAGAATCACGAATGGTATGGTTCGTCGAGAGCGCGCCCTTCGCAAATTGCGCCAAAGAGTTGATCTCGAGGATCTTTCTGAGGAAGGCGACAACACCAAGATGAAGGACTGGGGCAAACGACTATTCCGGACCTCGTCATCACCCTCAAAGCCCCCCTCGGCACCTTTGGTTTCTTTGAAACTTCCTACGTTTATACGACGACCTGCAGAGCCTGTCACAGCGGAAATGCAAGAAGGAACGGAGGGGCAATCCACACCTATTAGTCCTGCCACACAGCCCGAGCCAGAATCGAACCTCCGCCCGCCCGCCCCAACTACAACTCCGAAAACGAGGAGACCTAGGCCCAAGCGTTTGAATATGCTTCCAACACAGCCAGAAAATTCCGAGCTGAGTACAGAGCCAACCCCACGACGCGGTAGCCCATCTTCCTTTGCTCGACAACGCATGCGCGAAATTGCAGCCAAGAATGCACCTTTTGACGATCCCGATTCTCAAAGGGCAGCGTGTAAGTCAAACTCGAATAATGCAATGCCTTCACAGACTAACATAATACATAGGGTTGCGAGCGCTTTCCAAGGTTTTTCCTGGCTATTTTTAACCCAGCTTGGAATGTTTTCAAATTTCGGCGACAACTCATGTTGCATTTACTGGATAGGCATGGCTTTTCGGCGTTTTGTGTCATGAACAAGGTTTTAGGGATGGGCTGATACCATGGACGGCAATTGTTTTTCACGACTATTATTAGGATTTATTGGTGCATTGGGTAGACATTAATGAGGCGTTGGCTCGGTTTATGATATTTATATATATGCAATCAGGGCGACAATCCGCCGTAAAGAGGCGAGATCGCAGTGGAATGTTGGCTATGGAGGAGAGGTTTATAGTCTAGGTGAAGCGACATCAGGACGCAATAACCTATGAGGAACCAAGACATCGACTGTAAACAAAACATACCCATACAAAGAAAACACAGTCACGATAACAAATGAGCTTGGAAAGAAAACAAGAACGTCCTTCAATAACCAAAATATAGTTTGTTTCAGTAGCCAACTACCGCCTTACCCGCCTTAGATGAATGCCATGTTTAACCCATTTCTCAAGAGTCACCATTCTAAGTACGCCCAGAACGCCCAACACAAAATGAATGTCCAATTCCCGCTGTTTTTAGACTCAGACGTCAATGTTTCTCAGCCCTTGCGGTGTCACTTCCCTTGCCCCTCGAGTAAAGGCTCATTGCGCACTCCTCCTCTGGCCAGTGCATCCCGTACACGATCGTTTTCAGCAGCGCGGATCCTGCTCCTCGCGTCCTCAAGACGCTCAACTCCTCGGTCGATGGTTTCGATATGAACACTGAGCGGGATCGGAGGACCCCCACCAATACTATTGCGCAGCACTTCGGGCTCGGCCACTCGGTCACGAAGGTCTCCAAGACCAGCTTGGATACTCTCTAACTCAAGAATGAGCGCGTTGACCTGTGCAACTGCTGACGAGCGCTGTGCGTCAACCTGGCGCAAGAGAGCGAGCTGACGTGAAAGACTGTTGAGCTGGTTCGAGTTTGCTCCGACAAGCGTCCAGATGTTCCAGAGAACGTTCTCGCGACGAGATGCTGTATCAGCGGAAGAACGCGAGCTGATATCATAGATAAGCATAAGGTGGTCCTCGGCTTTGGTGAGCAGACGTAGAACAGCTTGCGCCTCGAGTATGAGGGTTGAGATGCGATCCGAAACTAGAGCTGTGTGCTCGATATACTTGTCAAGAAGAACCCGCTCGTTGAATATATGTTCAGTAGTTGGTTGGAAAGGGTGAAAGAGCCACGATGCCCAGCCCAGGATAGGAGATGGCGATGATAGTGAGTGCGCGTCATCTGCTTCGGGGGCCAGAGTATCGAGATAGCGAGACGTCCAGCGATTAATGCTTATGACAGCGTCGACGGCCGAACCGACATGGGTGTTGAACTTTTGCAAATCGGCAGCTGTTTGCCGCGCTGTGTCCACATAGCCGTCAAACTCAAAGAGAAGTTCATCACGAGCCTGCAGATCACTGTGTCGCACCAGGCTTCGGAGATCGCGGATAGCCGTTTCCGAGCGTTTCATCTCAAAGGGCAAAGAGACTCCATCCGAACTTTTCTCGAGGACTTGTTCGAACTTGGATTGCACGCTCATGAGATCATCGAACTCAACATCGCCACCCGTTGGTACGATGGCGTCTAGAGATGGGCAAAACGGGAGATTGAGGATAGATGCGCCTGGGATACGGCATATGGGTGAGAGAGATGCGGCGATTGAGCGAGTTGCCATGTTCTGTGCAATGATAAGACCACCAAAGCAGAGATAAATTGACAAGAGAATTGCGAAGGGTTTCTGCGCATAGCGAAACGCAAGACCGATGACGTTGAGAAACCAGCCGAGCGTATTGTAAATCGCCGTAGGAATATTTTGTGCAAGTTGTCTGCCAACCGTTGGAGGCGCCTCATCGCGACGTTGCCGGCGATAATACTCATTTTCGGCATCGTACCTCTCCCGCGCCATTCTTTGCTGCTGTGATGAAGTCGATACCGACGGGTTTCCCCTCCTCCTTACGCCTTCATCACCACCATATCCTATTCCCAAACCCCTTATCGTGCGCTCACTCCTGCTACTTCCCTCTGAGGCATCTAAGCGGGGCATGTGGAACTCCGGATCAGGCGTTCGAAAGACTCGTTCTCCGTTTGCGCTAACACTGGCACGGGAAAGACTTGGTCGGAAAGGTTCTCGAAGGATGACTTGCTCGTCGTCGGCGTCGGCGCCAAAGTCGCGAATGCTGTCCTGCGAAGCGAAACTGATGTTGCCCTGGGAGAAGGGCTGGGAAGGGAAGTTTCCAGAGGAGGTGGGCGGTGATGATTCTCCAAGAGATGGAAGGATACTCGTATCGAAACTGTCGTTCTCGCCTTCAACAAAGCGCCACGAGTCTTCTGGTCGAAGCTCACGCTGGCGTGAAGATACCATTGTTGTCCACCACCAAGCCTCGAGTACACGAGCGCGCGTCACTGGAGTGTCGCCTCAAGTCAGATATTGTTCAGGAGTAATGTCTGATGGCATCAGATATGTAGAATTTTGGTGGAAATGTCGTGTTTTAATTGTAGTTCCAGCGACTATATGCGCCTGGTTTCTGAAGCGTGAATCGCTGAGTGGTGTCGTTAAAGTAATGCGAGCCAAGGGTCTAGAAGCAATGAGTCATTTGGTTATAAGATAATATTTTCACGCAGGCAAAAGAGAAGTGTGCGTTGTTCGTGAACGGGGATCAAAAATGAGGCTAATGTTATTGTGTTTAATGATGCAAGAGGAAGAGGAAGCAGGAGGCAAAGAGTTTAAGGTGAGAGGGAAAGTGAGGTCACTTGGTACTACCTTAGTACCGAGTCTCGGTGGGGAAACGAGTCAAGGCAGAGAGAGCTACCCTTGCACTTGGTAGCATTGCTTAAGCTGCCTTGACGAACAATCATCACTACCTAATCTACCTACCTACCTATAGACTGAAATTACGCAATAATATAATGAACGAGTGATCTTATGTCTTCTGGTCTATCATTCTCATTGAGATTGAATGTACTATTTTTTACCTTTCTCTCACATAATGAGTACTAAGATCTTCCTCGACTCGACATAAGCACGGGCCACAGCATAGTTCGACTGTGCTTGTTAGTCTGACCAAGCTAGTGGGTAGCAGAAAAAATGGCCTCTCAAGTCTCAGGATCCAAAAATAAGTAGTCTAAGAGCCATAGTCTAAAGAGCATAAAGTGATCTACTAATTTCGTCTCTTATGCTTCCAGCGGTCAATTTTTCTGATACCCTGAGGCCAAGACCTCGTGGTCTGTCTCTCTTGGTCTAGGGTATCAACTAACGGTCACGATCGTAAACAAACGTCACTTAATCCAATCGGGGACTAACCTTTGGGCATCGACTTAAGATAGACAGGCTATAAAGCGAGTCATTAAAGTTGGGCTTCTTTGAATCAGATAAGGATATCTCCTTGACCGTATCGAACAACAACATGTTCTTAGATAGTAGATCGCGCTTTACGTGCAAAAGACTTAACAAATACTTATATTAACATCAAAAGAAACAGTTCGAGAAATTATCAGAGCACCGTCCTGATAGACGAATACTTGCAATGCACACTGAAGCACCAACTAACAAATTCCAAGCACATTCCAATCTCCCCCTCCATTCTTACTCTGTCATTCATTGTGTCTCGGCTTTCACACGTGAAGACTGTTCCCCTGAGCTGCCTGCTTCGGCAGCGGGACTTTGAAAAGACTCTGCTGTAGTAGTGGGCATAGCATACAACATTGGACTGCCACTGAAGCTCTGCTCTGGCCAATGCATGGCCGACTGTGGAGTCAGTTCTGGATAGTATCCAAATACGGATGGCATAATCCAATAGGGATTGTCTGCCTGCGGTACAATGTTTGTGACTACACCGACTTTAGCTGTCATAGTTCGTGACTGAGCTGCATGCAAAGTACCATTCTCAGCACCCATTGGTGCATGTTCTAGGTAGTTCAAGGTCATCTTCGACCTGGACCAATACTCGCTAGATTTCCTAAGGACACTTGAGAAGAAATCAACCTTGGATTTGTGACAAGACTTTGCTTTAAGAAGCATGGCAGCCTGATCCAGCTCTGGTACACATGAAGGAGATAGTTTCTCTGCCATGAAGTGATTCAAGACTGATACTAGGCGCAGCGGTGCATGAAGAACAGGTGGCAGCGAGGGATCAAATTTCTCAGCAACACTGTCGTGCAGGCGAAGTATATAGGGATTCGAATGCTCGGTGTTGGTGGCCCGTCGGACGTTTTCAAAGTGAAGATGCATTCGAATCTGGAGACTATGCAGAAGAGTTAGTTGAGACTGAGTGCTAGGAGTACCTAAGTTGACCTACCCATAAGAGATTACCAGCTGCAAGGAAGATTGTAAGTAGCCGAATCAATCATCAAATAGATCAAGAGCTTACAGCAGAATAGAGTATCATATCCACCGTCCCGTCCTCATCCACGTATTCCATTTTTGAAGCCTTGAGCTTGTTCCGCCACGAAACGATACTTTGGTTTGTATCTTCTAATGCATCGGAGCTTGTTTCCCATCTGCATCCGCCGAGAAATTGAGCCACACGGCGATCGTGTATGCGTACTAGATCAACAAGACAGGCCCAGGAAGAGGGGTCATATGACGCGCCTAGGCGATCGTGCTCTGCAAGAGTCACTGGAGTAGGGATAGCCTGTTTGTAAGTTAGCATTGGGTTGTCGCTAGTAGCAGCTGTACCTACGCCAGTCTTGTAGTTACGTTCCTCGCAGGGAAGTTCTGTGTCCTCGTTCAACTTTGCTGAGTAGAGAGATGGTTGTACCGAGTTATCTCTCATGTCTAGCAACATCTCGTGGACATATAGTCCCCAATATGTACGACGGCATGACTCAGCCAGGACAAGTCCCTCTTGCTGATCGGCATATGCCTTGGGTTGAAGACCTCCAAGTTGTGCAAGTTCGCGGGCCTGTATGAACAGACAGCGATAGAAGTTGTCCTGCTCGCCAAATGAAGCGATGGACAGGGACAGAAGTGCTTGAACATTCCAGAGCGTTGGAGGAAGTTGTTCATGCAACATCTCGAAAGCTCGCCCCCGGAGCGAACTGGTGTCTACCATGGAATACCGAGATGCGATATACATAATGGTAGCCTCGAGAAAGCGCACGTCGTTTGGCTTTTCTTTAAGAAATAGTTCCAAGATAGGTTTCGGTGGGGCCCAGGAGTGAGCGACGTGAAAGTTGGCATAATACAAATCGAGTGATCGACTTTGATTATAAAGGGGGCTGTGGAAGCCTGAAAGATTGGGCGAAGGTGTGCTTTCTGCTGTGTCGTCTTGATCGGTCATCGGGACCTCATCTCTCATCATGTTGCGTTTCTTTGCATCGCGAATTCCTCGCCGTGAACTGACGTAGTAGCACTTTTGCCCTTGCTCTTGGCAGCGCGTACAATGAGGTAACAACCCATCACACTTAGTGTGCCTACTGCGGCAAGGGACGCAAGCAATAGAAGCCCGAACCGTCGCGTTTGAACGCTCTGGTCGGTTTCGCTTCTGGCCTGAGTCGAGCTCAGGCCGGACTGGAATGCCGGCTTGTGGTGAATCTGCCATTGTCTGACAGATAGACAGATTGATTCTCATGAGTGAATGGTGAGGAAGGACTTTTGGGTGCTGAAGTGTATCGATCTGTTGGCAAGTGTCTACAGAAGGATCCAATCTGCGGGTTGGATTTGATGGAGGGTGCCCCTTGGTACCGAATCGGGGTTGTTTGCTTGGAACCAACAATGAGCAGAGGTCTGTGTCAAGTACCAGTGCTATGGAATCTATATAGACATGAGATTTGTATGGAAGGGAAAGCCCTAAATGTATGAAAATGAGAGCACAGCTAGTTCCAAAGGGAGTCCGATACGAACAAACGGTACTGGTCAACAATATGAGTGGCACACGAGAGCTGATCGCCAGGATCAACAAAAGCAAATTCCTCGTCACGTTGTGATTGGAAGAATGAAGCCTGAGTTGGATACAATCTAAAACAACGCTGCAATGCCAACTTGTCGCCCAGTGGTGTTGGCTGGCCGGTATGTGGCGCGTGGATCTGGCTCCCCAAGCAAGGAATAGGCAGCACAAGATCTAACAGAAACGTCCGGCTATATCTCCATGTTGGCTTGTCAACATGACTAGACACGGCTCCTATACAAGTGCAGATGGCTCTTGGAGAGTGGCATTAAGTTGCTGGTCCGTCTTACACCTCCTTGTTGTCTGCGAGAGCCAAGAAAGCTCACGAGCATGAATTGTCCACCCTTGGTTCATTCAAACACTGTTACTACTGGATCAAGAACTGGGCAGGTGGTGCTGTTCAGCACCGGGGCATCCTTTCCAAGACAAATCGTTGATCCTGTCTGTCCTGTTTGATGCCACTATCAGAGGTAGTCTCAGCAGCCCTGTGATAACAACCACTCGGGGCGGGCCTTACAAAAGCTCCCGTCAACTTAAACAGAAGACAGGGCTGGGCAGCTGACGAGAGTTACTAAAAACATCCATTTGGTCTCAACAGGTAACATCTTGAGCTGTGATTGCTTGCAACTGTCTCCACTGAGAAGGACATGCTCGCTTGCCGGTCGTGTAGTTTGTGTATACAGAAACAAACGACTCTGACGTGGAGAGGCGTTGTAAAGAGACAGGAGGAAACAAACGTAATACATTTTAACTATTCATTGCTTTTTTCTTGAGTGAGCGAGAACGAAAGCATCCTAAATGTAACACAGTATCCCGGCGGTTGGTCGTCGTCCCTCCGGTTCCCAGAGTTTTGGATTTCGGGACATATATTGGTTGTATGCAAGCCATCGGAGATGGCTGAGGCCCCTGCTCGTAGTTTGAATACGCATCGGCCGTACTGTATACTATAGCTCGATCTTCCCGTCAAGGGATAATATGTGCTGTGTCCTAAAGAGTCGCTTACCCAGAGCCTGGTTGTTGGTTCGTTGACGATTCGCGACGCTTTCAGAACGAGTTCTGGTTAGTTTATCGCTAGCCTGAGGGATAGTCTCAGAAACAATAGAAAGCGTTGTTGAATAGCGGTTGAGCCGCACTTACCGCCTTTGGACTTTTCTGTGTGACTGTTAAAGGTAGGAAGGTACTGCAGGTAGGATGTACCCTCCTGCCCAGCAGCTCCTGCCACTATCCATTCTCAAGTTCAGACACTCAAACGCTGATTCGCAAACGCCAAAGCGGGTCCGGGAGAGTCCTCTAAGACAGGCGTGAGGGAGAAAACGGGAACTGGCTGCAGACGGTAGGAAATTTGGGGGCAGGAGATTGATCCAAGCACAAGCTAAGACTGATGAGGGTCGACTCACATGAAGCTGAGCAAGGCAAGTAGGACAAGTTAAGTTTAAGAAATAAGTCCATCCATGGATTATGTAAACTATTGTGCTGT